CCTGGGACCTTTCAGTCCGCAGGCTGACGCTCTATCCACTGAGCCAAACCGGTTTTGGCAACAATAAAATATATATATATATATTTAAAAAAAGACTAAAAATAAAAAATAATAAAATCGAAGTAGTTGTTTTTCCTCTCAATGAATTTGGACATTGAGTGTTTTCTTCTTTATGTAAACAAAACAAACACAAAAGAATGTACATAATTCCATTTTGCCAAAGATAGGAGGGAAGAGAAGGGATCCACACTCTTAACTGAGTGCGTTCTGCGGTCCCTGGGTGTGCAGTTGCTCGGCGCTGAGGAGGCAGCAGCCTTCTCTGTACTCACTTTTCGCATCGATGAGGCGCTCCCGGGGGGCCGTGTCAGAGGAGGAGAGCTGCTCCTTGACCTTGGCAATGTCTTTAGGATGCAGGTAGTCAAACAAACTCTGGCCAATCAGATCATTCTGTGCGCATAAAGTATCAAAAATGACAAGTCAACAGCATGTAGAGTATAAATTATCTAAGTGCTTTCCCTTTATGTTGTGTTTTAAGAATGACAATTTCAAACATTTCATATGAGAACTTGCACACATGTGCACTTTGTCTAGATATGGACATTGGGAGGTTGGTTCTGATAACAAAGGTGGGGAGAGGACTCAATTACATAAATAGTTCATGTTCCTTGAGACAAGAATCTGTGCATTCTTTTTTATTTCTGATGCCCACAAAGTCCCTTCTGAGATCCCTGGGGGAGGACTGTAGGCATGGGCTCTGCCTCTTGCTCCTTTAAGTCTCTCTGTTCCTAAGCAAGTTGGGTCACACCGAATGCTTCCATAACCTATTCTGTTAGCAGAGATAACTTTCTTGTAAGACTAAAACGAGTAAAATATTTGGAAAACATGAAATTTACTTTAATTCTAATTCATACAAGTGTTATTTTGACTCTGATTCTGCCCAATCCAGTGTTCATGCAAACACCAGCATGCCAAGAGTGACAGAATGAATGAATGAGTGAGTGAATAAAACCTCTAGGGCCACAATAGGTGAATAGCTAAGCCCTAGAATCTTCCATAAATGTTATTATTTGATCCTACAAACATTCCCAGAGGGTATGGATCATTACAACCAGATTTTAGAGGAAGCTGAGGTTCAACAGAGCTAGTAAGTGGCAAGTCACTGAAAGCACAGTACGGGTGGGTTCCATTTCCCTGTTCTCTGCTACTGTATGATCTGCCTGCCCCTCTTCCTCCACCTCTGCCCCGCAGCTGTGGGGTATTTCTTTTGCAGCAATAAGAAAGTTAGAAAGCTGCTGCTGAGATCAGAGTCAAACCTTTCAAATGGTGAAACATGGATCATACATTTGTTAAACGATTTTTTTAAGTTTAAATTAATTTCTCTGGTAACAAAGAATTTTCTGGAAGAAGGCTTGGTGGGAGGACAAAATAAGCATTTCACATGTGACTTGTATGCTATAATTATTCTGCAAAGTGGGGAGACCTTTTTGGCTGCTGGGCGGCTGCCCACCATCAACAGGGGCACGAGCAATACCTGGCTGTAGTTGAGGATCTTGAAGACAGACTCTGAGACAAAGAGTATCTTCCCTCGGTCACATCCTACGACAAACAAAAATCCATCTGCTGCCTAATCAGGAGAAATGGATAATCAATTTATCACACTTCAAGAAACATGACTGTAATCACTTTGATAGCAATTAAAGATTAGTGTTCTAAGTAACCAAAGCACTGGACTGCCCTCATGGACGATTTCACAGGTATGCTGAGCAAAGGATGATTAAAGCAAATGTCTGATAAAAAAACAAGATTCTCTCCAAGGCAGATCTATATCATCTATGTCATCTAGTGATTACAGGGGAAAGTCCAATTATTAAATTCTGTTTCACAGCAGAATTCAGCGTAACAATGTTCCTTTGATTGCATTATGGTCCAGAGACGTCATATGTTATAGCTCTAATTAAAACAATTCTACACAGAATCACAGAGTCTGAGATTGGAAGGATCTCTAAGTTCGGAATCCCTTTCTCCGATCTCGGCTACATCTGTCCGCGACTTAAATGGCTCCTTTTTGGGGGAGCACTGGGACAGTGGTTTCTGTCTGGTTTTATGCTGACATTTGGAGTAGGGCTGCATCATTGGTACTGTTTTAATCCCCACTTCTGCCCCCAAATGACTCTAATGTATGCAGGATTGAAAGCTAATGCTCTCAAATATTATCCTATATTTTAATTTTTATTTTAATATACTTTATTGGTTTTTTACAGAAAGGAAGGGAGAGGGATAGAGAGTTAGAAACATCGATGAGAGAGAAACATCGATCAGCTGCCTCCTGTACACTCCCTACTGGGGATGTGCCCGCAACCAAGGTACATGCCCTTGACCGGAATCAAACCTGGGACCCTTGAGTCCGCAGGCTGACACTCTATTCACTGAGCCAAACCGGTTAGGGCTCAAATATTATCCTTTGACCCATGGCTAGGCTGTTTGTTCCTAAGTAAGATAAAAAAAGCAAAATTTTCCCCTTAAATGCTTCTTACTCCGTTGCTTTACATACAAGTAAAAATCTACAGTGCCAGGAAGGACAGGTGTAGAGACAGGGCAGTACTTATTAGAGAGACTGAAGCAAGTAACTACCAAAGCTGCAGCATCTGAGAGCTTAGACTATTGCATATGTGAGCACGATTCCTAGCCCCCCTTTCAGATGGACAAACCGCTCATCTCCTGCTGGAGTCTCTCTACTGCCCAGGAATCTATCCCAATCTCTCGGGGACTTGCTCTTTACTCACCCCCCTGCAGTTCTAATACATGGTGGGTCAATCTTGCTTCGTTCACTAGCTCTCAGTCTGTTCTTGGGAAAAATATAGAGAAACTCCATTCTCTTTTCCACAAAAGGACCTTTGGGATACAGCTTAATTCAAGGAACTAGGAAATGAATTCATGCGCCTGAGGTTAAAGAATGGCACGTGCACTTGTGCTGGGGTGAAAGGAGTGAATGAGAAGGGGAACAACTGCAATGGCTGTGAGAGAAGCCAGTGGGCCACCCAGCTGGGAGGAAGCCAGGATGACCCTTTCCTAAGATAGGCTTCTGAGTGGGTCCAGGGGCAAGGAATGACGGTGAAGGGGAAGCAACTTTGCAAGCACCATCTGCTGGAAGCCTCATTCAGTAAAAAAATAAATAAATAAGGTATTAATAACTTCCTCATGTGCCTCGCACACAATCATTTTCAACCGGGTAAGTAGTTTGAGGCTTTGCATTGACGAAGTGATGAGGCACCCAAGGTGCCTATGAAGAAGGTGACTGTGGCATCGTGACACCTGGGTCTCCAAAGGCCAGTGACTAGTCAGTGTGAGGATGGCTCAATGCATCTGACCCTGCTTCACTGGGCAGATGACACCATTAGGGGAAGGTGTGGGGGGAGGGGACTCAGGAGCAGAGGGGTGAGGACACCTGAGCACTATGGGGACTCAGGAAAAAGGCTGGCTCATTCCTGGAGGATGGTGTTAGCAGGTAATCCAGAGCCCTGGGAGGGTCTGCCTACTTTTCAAACCATGGGGAAGAAGGGTATCTAGATATTATAAACAGCCCAGACCGACTGCTGCCTGACACCGTTCATTAACGGTACCTGGAAAGCACTTAGTGAGGCAGGCAGGCAGGCAGCTTTGTAAGGAGAAGCAGAAGTCCAGTTCCTGCTGCCAAACTGTTCAAAACAGTCTGAATGGTCCTTGCTTCTGTTGAAGCAAATTCCTGGGGATGGGGTACCTGGAATTGGCAAGAGTTTAGACAGGACTTCACAGCCGCTGAAATGCGCCGGAGAAGAAAGGAAAGTTTTGTTGGGGGTAGAGAAGACAGATCATCACTGCTACTGTATGAAACGGAAGAGCAGAAAGGCAAGTCCAAGATGAAGTATTTAGCTTGAATAGCATTAAAATCCTTGTTTCATACCCTGATAAGTTTGGACATCTGACAAGAAGTTATTTAGAAAAGCAGCAACAAGAAAATTACTAAGCATTTGTCACTATAAAAGGAGCTTATTTTATATATAACGTATTCTATATACAATCATTTTTTCCTTAAAATGTCATATCACCAATATGGCAATCAAGACCAGCCACATAATTTGTAAGGCTCTGTACAAAATGAAAACGCAGGTACAAAAATTATGATGTTCATGCCGAATCTCAGAGGGAAGGTGGGGGTGGGTGAATGGGTGGGAAGAGATCAACCAAAGAAATTCTATGCATACCCCATGGACACAGACAATAGTGTGGTGAAAGCCTGAGATGGAGGGTGGGGCGGGTTAGAAGGGGTCATTGCGGGGGGAAAAAGGGGACTTATGTAATACTTTCAATAATAAAGATTAAAAAAAATTATGATGTTCAAAATGGCAATAGCAGAGCACAAAAGCCAAGCCTGGGCCTGGGTGACTGCCTAGGTCACATGCCCAGGAAGCCCTGATGGTTTCTCTGGAGATGCAGCAGACAGTTTCTATCTGGAACTTCAGCAAAAAAAAAGTTTCTATCTGAGAACAAGGACATCTGTTGGAAAGAAATGGAGGTGAGGGCAGAGTTGGGTCTGAGTAACTGTGTCCTGAGAGAGGTGATCCACAAATCGACACGAATGTGAGGGAAGCCATGGCCCCACCCTAACATGTTTACCTGTGAGTGGATATGCCTAGAATAGTGCCACGCAGACAGAGTCAGTCCTCAAAAATGTTTGAATTAGTGAATGAATGAAAATGAAAGACACAGAAGGCATGCCTACCAGATCTACACGCCACATGAAACCTCAAAGGATTGTTCATCATGAGCTAGAAGGCGGGACCATCTAATAAGTATATTTCGACAGAGATAAAAAGAAGTTCCAAAAAGTGAACTGCACCTATACAAGATGAAAAAGACCTGGCCTAACAACAATTCATGTGCAGGAGAGTCGGGGAGGGGCAGTACTACAGCTGCACCCAAAGGTGGCACTAAGACAGCTTCCATGGCAAGGGAGGTACCAACCAGGCCATGCAGCCCCAGTCCCACTGGCCACAGCTGAAGTTCTGTTTTGGGCTATGAGGGTCGCTTCTGGATGAGAAAGCTAGCAAACAGGTTCTGGAAAGTGTGTGTGTCAAATGCTGCTGGGGTGGGGGGAATTGCTGCCCTCTTGCCCCCTCCACTGTGGAGGCTGGAAAATCTTAGCCTGGGCTCTGCCACCTGCCCTGCTGCTAGGAGTGACCAGGAGAACCTTCTCGGCAAGTTGAAGTCCACTCCTGGGCTTCCTTTCCTGATAAAAAGGACCACTGGCCTGCAGCCTCCCCTGCCCTTCTTTTCTGGCTGGTCTGACTACTGAGACCTGGCACAGCCAGCTTGCTACCCCGAGGAAACAGCTGCCCTGCTAGTCCAGCAAAGGTGTGTGGGAGACGGAGCCTGGTCCCTGCTGACCTCACTGGAGCCCTCTCCACCCCCACCACAGCCTACCTAGAACCAGCTAAACTTGAGAGGCAAAATGCTGTTAGTTACAATATTATTGACCATATTTCCTATGCTATATTTTACATCCCATGACTATTTTCTAACTTCCAATGGTATGGTGCTAGGTGGGTACCGGAAATATCGGGGAACACTTTCTAAAGTATATGATTGGCCAACCCCTGTGCTGTACACCTGAAGCTAATATAAAATAATATTTCATGTTAACTGTAATTGAAAACATTTTAAATTAAAAAATAAAGTAAAAATGAAAATTAAAAAAAAACAAAACACCCATTTGCTCATCAGGCCTTCTGTTCCTCGCAGTTGAAAGCTTTCCAATGCAGTACGTCATGAAGGGATGGAGAGAGAAACTGGAGTAAGCAGGGAGGAGCCAGGCTGAGCCGAACACGGGTACCGACGACACAACCAGCCACCTGGACTACCTCCATCCTGGGCTTTGCAAACATCTGCTCAGAGAAGGGGGCCTCGATTCCATAGGGACCTCAGCCAGTGAGGTTAGCCCTGGCTGTGCGTGGCGGGGGCAGATATCTTTCCTCTTAGTTATGTTTTCCTATTTTGCTTGTTACAATTAGGAAGAGGACATGTTTCTGAATTCCATTTCTTTCCCTTCCATTGACTCTTGCTCTGCCGGGAAGACACCTTGGAGCCGCACAGGCCCAATTCTGCGGAAGGCGCGTTCCCATGGTGCCGCCTCAAATGCCTCTTGCAGAGACCGAGGAGATGAACGAGGAGCTCCCGTCAAGCAGGCGCAGCATCACCTCCTCCACTTACTTTCCTCGCTGGATCATGGAGTCTTTTGAAGTTTTGCTATTTGGAAGGGATTCTGGTGTAAAGATTTCGGTGGATGCTTTTGTGCTAGTGGTTAAGTGAGAATCAGAGAAATTCTCAATAGTTCAGTGTCAGTCCCTTTCTAAAATCTTCACGCAGGAATGTGGTTCTTAGCTACCGCCTATTTTTAACAAAGTCCTGCCTCTTCTGATTTAAAACCACAGTAGCACAGACCTTCCATTTTTGCTAAGCAAGGGCAGAAGGGAGGAGGGAGGTCTCAGAAGGAATGTGACGCCTGTCCAAGCAAGAAGATAAAGAGGAAGTGGCCTAGGAACAGTTCAGGGTTCAGACATCAAATTCCCACATGCTGGGACTTAACCCTGAAATCTGTAAAAATAAGTGCGTGTAAAACATACCCTGAGGATGAGGTGTTTCAATTCATCATCTGACAGAAAAGTTGGTTTGTAGTTTGCTTCCGTGTATGGATTGGTGGCACCTTAGTGGGGAAAGAGAGAAAGAGTTGGCACATTTTATATCAGATAATGTCTCATTTTATTTCACTGCCTCTAACCTACCACCAGGGATTTAAATTTGACCGTCTTTTTCCTTAACTGAGATAAGGCAAGACCTGATTTTGAACAGAACCCTGTAATACCAAAGAGAATTCCGCTGAAAAGAGAACACTGTTGCCCACAGGAGACTAAACGAGCGTGCTTTTGTCACCACGGGGAAACCAAGAGATAACAGAAGGAAGTTACACATCTGCTTCTAAGAGAGAAGGCAGCTCTAGAAGCGAACTGGCTGACGCCCCTGGGACGGTTCCCTCCTCCCGAGATGTGTATTCAATGGGCTGTCTAGCAGTCCCTCAAATCACCACTCTACACGCGTGGGAAGTCATCCGGTCTGCCAGGCGAGTAAATATATTATAGAGGGCATTTAGTGTGAGCTCCCCTTCACTGCAGGTGAGCTAAATGAGCTTGGCAACCCAAAGAAATGCATCACTTCAGTAAATGCAACTCTAGGTCCCAGGACTAAAATGGAGTAAGACTTGTGTTTAAAAGGCTGTCAGTTGGGCATCTTTCAGAAGAACAATAACTTAACAGAGAAAAATGCCAGCAGTAAATGACTTGGAATCTGCAGAATGATGAGTGGAAGAGTGAAGAAATAAAATGAAACAGGTCCATAACAAAACAAAGTACCAAGGGGAAGGAGGTAAACAGGGCGTGTCTGACCTCCATGTCAACCAGCAAGCACGAATTATTGATTCACACCCGCTTCTGTGATAACTAGAGTTTGCACTCTTCTACTTAAATAGAAACTGACTGATAGTAGTTTAGTCTCTACCATCTCAGCTAGTATAAATTTTTAAATGCCATTCTCCAAGCACAGGATACAATTATATTTTTGAATAACAAACAAAAGTCAGACAAAACCGGCTACGTCTTATTTTTGGTGGCTTTGTAGAAATAAAAAGATGTAGTTCTTTTGCCACACGGCTTAGAGATCTGACTGAGCGCCCACTTTCCAATTGCCTCAAATAGCCCAAGACTAGCTATGGAAAATTCCAAGAACAGCATTCACTAAAAGGCTGATAATGTTTCAGATTTCTCCTGTGGTTTGGATAAGTCACTTCCACAGTTCTGCCTCGTTTTCTCAACCTCACCACACTCAGAGAAGAAGGAAAATACTGCCTCTCCCATTAAGGGTCTGGCTAGTTTGGGAAAATTCCAGGAAGATGACTATGTCAGTGTTCATTTCTAGCAATAAAAACAAAAAAAAAACAAAAAAAACGCAGCAAGAATAATGAACCAGTAACTCTTCAAAGGAACCATGATGTATTTTCCTCTTAAACATGAGACTGACTTTTCTGGGTCACTTAGATTTCTGATGCTTGTCATGTATGCATGGGGTCTGACTACATGCACACATATGGGGCATCAGTGGTGCCCTCTCTGATATGTGCATAGTCTGACCACACACACAGACATGCTCACAGCCTCTACCCTCTGGGATAAAAGGCTATGGAACTGCATCTTGATACTTCATTGGGCATCGTGTCTACTGCTGAAAATTACAGGCATATTACTCAAGGCGAGACATTTGCAAGTCATAAACATTTGCCGTAGGGACGTAGGAACATTCTAGGCAAGGATGGTACATTTGTGGACAAGGGCGTAAAGGACAATAAAACCTGAGGTCTCACCTCGTAGTGTTTTCATGTGCTGAACAGCCATCCTTAGCACAGTAAGTTTATCTAATTTCCTGGACATCGCATTGCATGTGGGTACCAAGGAAGCCAATTCGTCAATAAAGCTGTTCATTTTATCCCGACGCCTCTTTTCAATTTGACTGTGAGCTTCCCTGAACAATAACATGAATAACGAATTCTTTAAACGTAACCCAGCATTAAGGAAACAAAGACAAAAAATAAGATATAACTGTTTTCAATAATCATCTGGCAAGGCAAATTCAGAATTTGCAGACTACTTCAAACTGGACTTTTTTTTATTAAAGTCACTAAAAACGTGGCCTCTCTGCCAGGTCAGGTTTAGTTTTTTTAAATGCTTATCTCATCCTTCCTTAGAATTAAGAAATATTTTTTAAAAACTGTCTTTTCAGACTAAACTGTATTGTTAGTTTCTCATTTCTTTTCCTCTCAGCCTCTATAAATTTGGATTTGAAGATGGAGGCAGACGAAAAAAGGAGGGTGGTCGAGTTTTTAAAGAGCAAAACATCCAGAACCGTCATCATATCAGCAAGGGTCCCGTGGTGCCAGGTGAGCCGTCTCTGAGGGTTGGAAGGAGCCTGCTGTGTGGCTCGCCAGATTCGCTGGGTGAGTTGCCAGGTAATTAATGCTGCCACCCTTGGATCAAATATGGCCCCACATAGATACAGCAGATGCTACATCTGTCCCCAGAACTTCCTCCAGAGAACATCACACTCCTCCCTCGCAGGAGCTGCTGCCCCTGCACACTCCCTGACTGGTTTGCAGCTGCCATTTGTGACAGCCCCCTAAAGAGGCGCATCCACGGTGGAAATGTAGCTCCCTGCTGCCCTAGCCAGGTAGCTCAGTTGGTTAGAGCACTGTCTTGATACACCAAGGTTGCAGGTTTGATCCCTGGTCAGGGCATATACAAGAATCAACCAACGAATGCATAAATAAGTGGGACAACAAAGTAATGTTTCTCTCTCTCCCTTCCTCCCTCTAAAACCAATGAAAATTAAAAATAAAATTTTTTTAAAAAGAAAAAATGTCATTCCCTGCTGCTGCCATAGCAACAGAACCATGAGAGCTCCTGCCAAGGCGGGTCTGCCAGAGAAAAGTGAGAAATCTCGGGTTAGTCAAATTCTGCATCCCTCAGTTCTGTCATGACGGCCTCAGAGCAGGAGGGTTGAGGACCACATGGACAGGGATAAGCAAGTGTGGTTGGAGGCAGGAGGCACTATGTTAGAGCACCTATTCCAGGGAGCAGGGCATCCCCTGTCCTGCCTTCAGGAGCAATTTTCAGGGCAACAAGGGCGTCTTTCAGAGGCGAGGGGCAGCCCAGGAGCTGCATCACTGTGCCCGGTCTCCTCCGGGGCCCTGCAGGCAGGAAGGAGTAACCTGCCAAAGACTAGAGGGAAACCTTAGCCTTGATTTATTTTCTGCTCCCTCCAAAGTCCTGCGGGTTACCCATGCTTAGACAGGCAAGAGTGAAGGCCAGCACAGCCTGCAGAGAGGGAGAGCAGGAGGCCACGAACATGACGGTGTCGAAGGAACCGCTAGACGGGGACCAGATGCACAGAGCCTCCTCGGCGGCCCCCAGGACACCAGCAGTGAGACAGAATGAGGCCCCTTCTTACCTGGCATTTTTTATCCTTCCTTGGTGCTCTGTGAATTCTAACCTGGAAAAAAAAGCAAAAGATGAAAACACAAACCAATGTCTTCTTCCCTTTTCTTTTTTTTTTAAATATATTTTATTGATTTTCCACAGAGAGGAAAGGAGAGAGATAGAAATAGAGAGTTAGAAACATCAATGAGAGAGAAACATCGACCAGCTGCCTCCCGCACATCCCCCACTGGGGAAGTGCGCGCAACCCAGGTACATGCCCTTGACCGGAATCGAACCCGGGACCTTTCAGTCCGCAGGCCGACGCTCTATCCACTGAGCCAAACCGGTTTCGGCAAACCAATGTCTTCTTCCCTTTTCAATTAATTTCTCTGTTTAATCCCTGTCATCTCCACAACACACAATGTTGATTGTCAGCCAAACTGGGGGCTGGGGGAAGACAATCTTGAGCCCACAGGCTCACAGCATCCTTGTTTATCCCCCATCCAGGACATGGTGGAACCTGCACCAACTAATAGAATTTGCGATTATGCAAGGAAATGACTATAAGGACGCTGAAGTTAAATGACTGGGCTCACGGTACCTTCCATGGGGGTCATCTTTGTCTGTGTCCATGCTTTCCCTGAAAAACAGACAAACAAGCAAAAAAAAACACAAAACAGAATGTGACTATTAAAGACATACACAATACCTTCTAACCATAATGCCAAAGGCTCTCATTTATCCAGAAACCAAACAATTAGAAAGGTCAAATAGCATAGTACTGATTATGGATACGTAATAAACATATATAAATAAAAACAACTTGAGACTATATAAAACTCAGACTGGTTTTCCGGATTATCAGATGAAATTTATATATAATTTCAATAGTTTTCATGTTAACATATTTTGTCACATTGTGGGAAAATTGGGAATAGGTTGCACTTATGGAAACTGTTAGTTCATCAGCGTATCTAAGTAACTACAATACCTACAATAACTCATTCTGGATAAATGAAGCTTATTCATTTGCAAAACATATCAAGCATCCGCTATCTGTGCACACAGACTGGATCGTGTGGGGGACTGCAGTGAGGAGGGGAATCAGAGCACCAGCAGAAAGCGCTGAGCAGAGCCCCGAGGCGCCTTTCAGAGGCACTGCTGCCAGTGTTCTGGTCTCAGCATGTGGGGAACCCCAAGGAATGGGACAGAGGAGGGACTGGGGCAGAGGCTGTGGGACCCTATTTGGCTGCAGAGGTGCTGGGGTCCCAACATGAACCTGCCTCCCTTCAATAGTCTCCAGAAATCCAAGTTTCATGGAATCTTGTGTTTCAGTAGAAAATCGACTAGAATGCTCAGAGAAAGGAGTTCAAGGTCCCCAGGGTCAGCTCACAGCCTAATTCAGCTCCTAAATTTATCGGGCAGGCACTGACTGCCCCCTGGGCCTCTCCTCTTTCTCCTTATCCCATAGGAAGGAGGAAGTGCAGCCCTAGCTGGTTTGAGTCAGTGGATAGAGTGTCAGCCTGCGGACTGAAGGGTCCCAGGTTCGATTCCAGTCAAGGGCATGTGCCTTGGTTCCTGGCAGCGCCCCGGATGTCCTCGCAGACAGTGTCTCTAGCTGGTCCCAAGTCCAGAGGAAATCACATAGCCACATAAGCAAACGGAAACTTCCATCCCCTTTGTCTGCTTGTGTCTGCTTACTGAGGCCAGAGTGACCATCTCAGGGAAGAGGAGCTCTGCCTGGCAGGTGTGATGTTAGTACAACAAAATGATAGGGAAAGGGATTATGGTTGCTCCATTAACAGAGTCTCCATGATTTCAAAAGACTTGCAAACTAGGGTCCCTGAGGGAGACCTGATGGTGACAAGGTTGGAAACCATAGATAGCAGAGGTCTTAGAACATGTCAACGGTCCATAGAAAACATCTCCTGGTCTCTCTATTGGGGAATTACTGCCACAAAGCAAACCCTTCCGGTCTTCACTCCCATCCCTGGGCATTTGCTCTGAATCATCTGGGATAACTTACATATTAACCATAGCATCTCCACTGTGCTCCCCAAGTCTGACCTGTGAACTTCAGCAGAAAGGACATCTGCTGTAGGGGGGACTCCTCCTTGGAGATTTTCCCTCATTAAACAAAAGCAAACCTTATAAACGGCCATTTGGGTAAGATTGCACACAGAGGCCTCAACAAAACAAACGTGCCTTTGACTGTTCTCCATATACCGCCTTATGCCCTAGTGTTTGTGCAGAGATAGAAGAGTTGACTGTAAGTGTGAAAATTTACTTACTCAAAAGAAAAGTCATCAAGTCTAAAAAAAAACACACACAAAAATACTATTTAATATAACAGGTACATACTCGTTTCAATGATGTTTAAGGGCAATATCAATGTTCCTACACTGTTTTTGGAGATAACCATTACTTGCTTGTTCTGCAAATACAGGGTGTTCCCAAAAATGTATACACACACTTTGAATAATTATAAAGGCAGTGCTTGTTAAAATACATTTCATCTTCAAGATCGAGCTATTCAAGTGTATTTTTAGGGGACACCCTGTATTAACCAACTGATGTCTCCCTCAGGGAGGGGCCCTCAGGCAAAGCTCTCTCTGAAACTGCTGAGGTTACACCCACGGACTCAGTCACTTGCTCAAAGGAGCAAAGGAAGGTAAAGGCGGGTCAAGGCAGGAACTTGGCTTTAAGGCTCTTCCCCCCACCCCCATATGGACAGTCTGGGAGGGGCTGATGCCTCAGCAGTGCTGGCGCTAGAGGTCCCCCCACCCCTCCCCACTTGCTTCTGGGGCAAAGTACAAGAAAACAACTGTGTGGCCTCCTGGATTGCATCTTCCACTCCCATCCCTTTCCCCAAACGGGGTCCCTCTTCCAGGAGGAGCAGCCCCCCGAAGCTCCACGCCCATGAACTGCCACTGTGTTCGGCCAGAAGAGGACTAGTCTGAGGGCCTTACTGGTAGTCAGTGGAGCTGCCTTTCCTCTTGCGGGTGCAATCCACGCCACTGGTGCCCAGGGAGCTGGAGAGGAGGTCTGTGGCGCCCGGGGACATGAAATCACTGATTGTTGAAGAAATGTCCATCCTCTGGTCCGCCATTGGGAGTCTGGAATTGGGACAAGGAGGCACAGAGGCAAGTTTATTTCCACGGGCTCTTCTAAATGCTGGAGGGCCCAGGTGGTGCTGGGCAGCGACAGGGGCCTGTTTGCAGCACCCACACCTCTCACCCAGCCCCTGGAACAGGCGCTTGGCAGGAAGGGAAGAGCAGCGTGCCTACTTTAGCGCTAGTACAGGTGATTTAAGCTCACTGTGCGTTTTCCCGATGAAAAACCCGGAGGACCCAGGTGAGGGCCTAGAAGAACTAAACCAGAGCCCAGGGCTCCGGGAGCTATGGCCCATGCTTCCCCCCGCAGGGGACCAAGTGTCCCAGATGTTCTGTGAGAGTCCTAATTTCATTTTCTTCCAACCAAGAAATCAAATCAATGAAATAGATAATTTACTTGTTATCTTTGTATTTTTGTAAATGTCATAGGAAAGTAGACAATATACAGTGGGGCCCTGACTTACAAGTGTCCGGACTAACGAGTTTTTTGAGATACCAGCTGTCTCTCTGCCGATTTTTTGCATTGAGTTGATAGAGTAATTTGAGTTAACGAGCTCCTTAACGAGCTCAGTTTTGAACGAATTAAACTCGTAAGTCAAGGCCCCACTGTACTTCCCCAGACTATACGGGAGGGGGGAGAGGGGAGTCAAAGTAAGTTTACAGTTGTTCGTAGGAAAAATAATAATTAATAAATAACAATACAAGAATAAACTCTGTTTCATGTACTCACAACTATAAACCTACTTTTGCCCAGTTTGGTCCCTCTTTCAGCAGCCCAGGCAAAGTCTGTCCTATCTTCCCTGACTCTCCTTTCATACCCAGCATCCCCTGCAAGAAAAACCTTGCATAATGAAATGAAGACACTATAAAAAAATTTCCAAAACATTTTGAGAATTCGTATTTTAAAAGCACAAAGTGAGCTGGCCCAAAGGAAGAGGCTGACAGGTACCTTACAAGGAACTCCAGCTCCAAACCAGGGTGAAGAGGGCCGTGTGCTGCCCACAGTCAGGGCCGGGCTGCCCAGGATGTGACGGGCTCACTCCTCTCTGGGCCCGAGCTTCCTCATCTGCAAAGCAATGGCTACGTGTGAGCGCCTGTTTTCACTGTTACCATCAGGCTCACAGATTCAGGAACCAGGCCCACCTGGTGAGGTTTGCGCCACCTTTTCACTTTCACAAGCACTGCTGGAGTGAACATCTTGGTGTGTATCCTGTATTTCCATGCACTTGAGCTATCATCTCTTAGGATAAATTTCTGAAAGTAGGACTGACAGAGCAAAAGAGGACACACATTGTACGCTTGGTACACACTGAAACACTGTGCTCCGGAGAACTCCAGTAATTTATATCCTCAACAAGAGCTCCTGTCAATCTGAAGGTAAGTACAGACCTCATTGTGCTTACTTGTATTTTTAAATGACTACAGATGGTGCTCCTATGTTAGAGGCATCTCTCTGTTTTCCTTTGTCTACTCATGGACCATTTTCCAATAAGTTGTTCTCAGTATCTACAGGCCTCCAGACCATGTTCACCTGGGCATGATGGGAGAAAAGCTTACAGTCCACCTCCTCTCACCCAGAGGCCCAGTGCTGCCACGATCTGGATTCTCCACTCCATTTGTTCACCTACTCTGCTATTGAGGATGTCATACTTTCTCTTTGCTCCTCAAACCCCTAACATCTCTCAGATCCTCATTCCTAGGTGATAACTTTCCTTTCTACTTCACTGAGAAAAGAGCCCACCTAGACGCTGCTGGTTAGGACCCCACACCCAGCGAGTGCCAAGTTTATCCTCTTTCATGACTCAGGACACTCACCCAGAAGTCTCTCCCTGCCCACAGCCCTGTATCACCTACTTTCCCGTCTCTTGGGTCATTCTCATGAGGATAAAAGCACATTGCAACAGTTCTGTACTGGAGGAAAAGAAACCTTTGAACTTCATTCCCCTCCAGTTACTGCCCCATTCCTGTTTCCAATTCCTTTCCTCCTACTCTATAAACCAACTCCAATCAGGCTTTTGTCCCCAGCATTCCAATAAGACAGCCTCCACTGTCATGAGTGACCTCCTCACTGCTAAGTCCAATGGCCCATGTTCCATTCGCTCCCTCTTTGACCCAACAGTGACATCTGATAGTTCTGACTTCTCCCTCCTCATCGTCTCCTGGTTTCAGAGATGCCACTTTCTCATAATTTTCCTTCTACGTCAGTGACCACTCCGTTTTGGTCTCTTTAGCTAGTTCTGCCTCATCTCCCTCCCCTCTAAATGAGGGTCCCATGGTGTCCTTGCACCTCCCCCTCTGTCTATACTCCTTCCCTAGGAGATCTGTTTAGTTTCATTGCTTCAAATACTAGCTATGCTAGGACAACTCCCAAATTAACATATCCAGCCCAGACCCCTCTCTGAATTCCAAGCTTGTATAACTATCTCCCTCTGAATGTACAATAACATCCTCGAACTAAAACATCCACAACCAAACCCCTGGCTCTCCCCAAACCAAGCCTTTCAGTCATGCCGATGTCAGTAGGCGGTATTTCAATCCTTCTGGTTCCTCAGCCCCCAAACCTGGAAGTCATTCTGACTCCTCTTTCTTTCACAACCTGCACCTAGTCCATCACAAATCCTATTAGCTCAATGTTAAAAAAAAATCCAAAATTCAGCCACTTCTCCATTTTTATCTTTACATTTCTACTCAAATATCACTTTATCAATGATCCTTTCTTGAATATCCATGTAATACAACTCCCTGCCAATCCTCCCTAACCACCCCTACCCTGCTTTATTTTTTTCTATAGCCCTTATCAAAATTTGGCCTACAGTAATCAACTTCTTTATTTCTTCTCCATTAGACTATAAGCATGAGAAAAGCAGGGATTTTGTGTGGTTTACTGCTTGCACCCTTAGTACCTGGACCACAGGAAGCACTCAATAAATGGATGTTGAATGAATTTATTTGTATATTAGAAATATATTCTTTGTTCATCATAGATGTTTAAAATACCCCCCTTTTTGCCTTTCAACTTTATTTATGGTATTTATATAATAAAAATGACATTTTTTAAAAAGCCTTTTCTTATCCCCCAAATCATAAGAATATTCTCTTTACCAATATTTTTTTATGATTTTACTTTATTTAGTTCTTCAATCCACTTGGAAGTGATTTCTGGTATACTATGAAATTCCCAACCTTATTTCCCTTCAATGGATAGATAACCATCCCAACACCAATTACTAATCTACACATCCTGTTGCCAGTCATTTGAAATGCCATCTTTATTGACTCATTGCCTATCTCTGGACTTTTTAATCTGTTCCTCTCATCTAGTTGTTTCCATTCTAGTACTACACTATTTATTATTGTGGTTTGATAATACATTTTACTACCTGGTAGAATAAATCCTTTCCCTCATTCTTATTCATTTCCTGGATATTCTGATTTATTCTTTGAGAAGCACTTTATAATCATTCAATCACTGTTATATTATTACTGACATTAAGAGAAGTGGGTCGGGAATGAGAACAGAGCCCTGCCGTCAGGGTCCTGGTGGCCCTTCGGGCTGCGTTGGGCATAAGTGCCACCTCCAGCCCACCTCTCTTTGCATGAGGCAGAATATTTGAAGTTTCACCACTTCCTGAAGGAAGAACTACCATGGAAGCTGCCAATAAGCCAGTGGGCGAGGGGGACGGTACGAAATATGACGACTTATTACCTGAAGTTAGAGTTCTTCAACCTCCGATCCACCGTGGGGGAGAAAGGAGCCACTGGACTTGGTCACCTCAGGGCGATTTTCATGTTTTGCGGTTTCCTTTCAGGCAGTCAACTTCTCTCAGAAACCTGCAGCGGGGCCCACCGGAAAAGAAAACCCAGACAGGTCACTCTGGGGTAAATACGTTTTAAAATCTCATATTAGGTGAGGGAGATGGGGGAGCCAGCTCAGAACTCCTCGTTACAGGGAGTAACTGGGCTGCGCACAATCCCGCCTTCAGCGGCCTGTTAGACTAACTACAGACACCTGAGGGGGTCACGTGTTGGCTGTTTAGTTTAATAAGAAATATGTTAGCAGATGTTTTCTGTTAAAAACAATGGCTTTTAAATTACTAAACACGGGTTTGGGGACATGGCCTTAAGAAAGATAATTATATTTTTCACTTCTCATACTGGGCCAAGCAATAATAACACTCAAGCAGTAATTGAGTACTTTGCATTGAGCCCTGTTCTTATTGCATTGTATAGATTAACTCACTCAAACCTGAAGGATAAAGCTATGAGGCAGATACTATTGTTTTCTTCATTTTACTGAGGAGAAGGCTGGGGCAGAGAGGTGAAGGAACGAGGCGAGTTCACGCAGCTGGGGTGGAGGGGCGCCAGAGGCCACCCTCACTGCTAACGTTGTCACTCAACACCCCCAGGTGAAGTCAGTTACCTAAACGCAGACAAGGAACAAGGGGAAACAAGTCTTGAGAAAACACTGAGCCAACACAAAACGCCAGCAGAGCCAATACTTTAAGCATTTTAGCTTGCTCCCAGAAGGTTTAAGAAAATGTCCGTGAACCTCAAGCATGTCTGTGCACACACAAAGCTAAGGGAGAAATCCGCTGGGAAAAGGCACCTGCTCATGTGAACAACGTGGGCACTGCCCTGCCCACCTCCTCCTGGCAGGACAGAGGGGTCTCCTCTCTGCCCTGTGTTCCCTGCATCTGGGAGGAGGTGGCTGGAAAGAGGTGCAGCCACCCTCTGCCTCCTGCCCCATTCTACCCTGAGATGGCAAAACTTTGGTTTTAGGTGGGGCTTTACTGACCTCGCTGAAGCAAGAGTTCCGGCGTTTCGCATTCCACTGGCTAATTCTTGCCATCTGTGGACTATCTATCTTTGTCTTGATCATTACAGAGGCCTTCAGATGAATACCCAGGAATAGAACTGTTTTGTCCTCTTAATTTATGCCCCTTTTGCAGTCTGACTCAGAAACCTTCACCATCTGACTGAGAACCCCATGTGCAAACAACCTGACCGAAGCTCTGGACTTCTAGTTCCTGAGCCTCAGGTGACACAGCAGCAGCAATGGACGCAAAGTCCCCAGGAAGTGCTGCTGGAGGCAGGCTCACCATGGGACTCCATCTAAGTCCCATTCCCCACCAGGTCACACACTATCCTCCCACCCCTCAAATGAGTATCCCAAGATCCACCCTGGGCATCCTTTCCCTCCCTCCCACACTCCACAACCCCCAGTGAGCTCTCCGCTGGATGGGTTCAGCCACTTCTCTCGCCCCCTGGTTGCCTCCAACCAGGCTGCTTTCCTCTCAGTCCTGTCCTCACTGTGGCCAGAGACAGGACACCCCCTGCTCAAAATACTTCAGCAGCTTCTGCTCTGCTCCATGCCTTCCATTTAAAACCTCGAACTCCCTAGCAGGAAACGCCAGGCCTCCACCATGGCTTGCTCGCCCTCCAGCCCAACTCTCCTCATCAACTCTCCTCATCGGCCGCCAAAAGCTCGAGGCCACTGAGATACTTAAGTTCCCAGCCTCAGCTGTGCCCACAGTCTCCTGCAGGTGTGGCTCCCTTTAGCCACTCCATCACCTGGTGAGCTCCTGCGTCCCTTCCCAGTGCCCTCAGGCATCACCTCCTGTTGGCTTTCCAATGTTGTTCCTACCCTTCCTGACACACCCTGTGGCCT